GCCTCCATCTTCTCCTCCATCATCCTCCTCTTCTGCTCCTCTTCCTCCCTCAGTGCAGCCATCCTGGCCTCCTCTTCCTCTTCTAGAAACTGGTGAAGCTTCTTGAACTGCTCCTTAATATGCGTCTCTGTGTGTTGAGCCTGGGCCTTCAGGTGTCCTGCTGTTTGATCAAACTTCACTTTGACTTCTTCAAAAGTCTCTAACTTCTCCTTTAAGGGCTGCAGAGCTTCCTGAAGCTTCTTCTTGTGTTGTCGTGCAGCTTCATCGATGGGTCTGAAACTGTGTTTTTTGTGGTTCTCTGAATCTCTGCAGACGAGACACACTGGCTGCTGGTGGTCCAGACAGAAGAGTTTGAGTTTCTCAGAGTGCAGACTGCAGAGAGCCTCTGGAGGTCTCTGATCTCTCTCCTGTAGGAAACTCTCACACAGGTTCTTTAACACCAGGTTACAGGGAGGTTCATAAACTGAAGGTCTCTTACAAAGTGGACACTCTTTGATGACTTTCTCCGTCCACCACTTCTGCAGACAGGCTCTACAGAAGCTGTGGCTGCAGGACAGGACCACAGGATCTTTAAATGTGTCATGGCAGACAGTGCAGCAGAGATCTTCCTCTAATCTGGAAGCCATGTTGTCTGTGAGTGGAGCTGTGAACTCAGCAGCAGCCGCTCCCTGTTCCCTGAGACTTACTTTCACTTTGAGTCTTTGTTCTAGTGAAACTCTATGTGTGGATTCAGCAGCTCCTTGAAGTGGAAGGTGTTCCAGTATTCCCTCCTGTGGACGTCCTCTCAGTGGAAGAGGTGTGTTTGGTGTAAAGTTGAATCTTATCGTCCGTCTGTATGTGTGTGTGTGTGTGTGTGTGTGTGTGTGTGTGTGTGTCGTCTCAGCGAGGCAGAATAAAAGCCTGTTTCCTGGTTATTCTCATGTGAGTCAGGCGGTAGGTGGAGCTTCATCAGTTTATGCGGTTGAGTTCATTCCAAACCCATGACTCATGTGTTTCCTCATTACATCCTGTACACTGCGTCTGTCTCTGTTTTCTTTGTCATACTTCTTCAACAATTATGTTTGAAATGGTTTTTAAATATGTCTGAAAATACACTTTCCACTATCTCAACTCCAACATAGCACAAACAAAGATAAATCTGCCTTACTTATACTTTTACTTAAGTACAAGATCTGAGTACTTCTACTTTTACTCAAGTACTTCTTCCCCCTCTGAGTAGTTTGTCTGTACAGCACGATGTATGAATTCATTTGGGAATTAAATGTGTTAAAGATTATGGTATTTCCATCAAATAATATGTATTTAAACACACAATAAAAAGGGATTTAAATAAATAGTTTGACGCGAGACATAACAACCTTAGAAATACTATCAGTGTACCAGTGTTGACATGTTTGTACACATAAAGCCAAGTACATTCTTTACACTGTTTAATAAATATACATCTTTATTCACATCAGTTCAGAGTCACTTTAAGTATCTCTACAGTCTTGCATCACCACACATCATCATAGATCAAAGGCACCTGATTTTGCAGCTTATTTGTGGAATTACATTATTTTTCTTAAATTATTATTATTATTTAATTGAACAGACAATAAACACAAAGCACCTGCTACTGCAACAAAACACAAGAAAGCACCAACAGATGGATCATTGATCAGTCTGGAGTGCGATAATGACAAATTAAACAAACCTTATACAGAACATTAACAGCAACATGATGAAGCTAACATATCAGTACGCTTATTGAAGTATTATTTCCTCTCTGATATGTTTGAATACATTCAACTGTATTTAAACTCCATGGAGCTGCTCTGCGCGTTTTAACAGATGATTCTCACACGACACGTTACATATAGGTGGATTATTGAATAAAAGGTTGCATTTTTAAACCTCTTTGTACTCATTTTGCTCCATTTCTTAACAGGGTTGTGTCTATTTGTCCGTGGTTGTGTCTTTGTGTTCATTTCATATCTCATTTACTGTCTGATTGTGACCATTTTGCACCTCTTGGAGCGGTTTAGTCTCTATTTGTCTGTATTTTAGTGTCTTTGAGTTCATTTTGTTTCCCTTCTTTAGTCATTTAGTGTCTCTCTGTATCATGTAGTGTCCCTTTGTGTGATTGAGTGTCTCTCTGTATCATGTAGTGTCCCTTTGTGTGATTGTCTTTGTAGTCATTTTGAACCTCTTTTTTGTACTTAAGTGTACATTTTATAGCTGAATGCCATGTGTTCAGTAATCACAAAGATCCTGGAGTGTTTTCAGCGTCCTGTAGCTTCCTCTGTATAAACTACTTTCTGCCCTCTCACTTCTAATAATTGTGTGTGTTTTTCGGGTGGATAAACTGTCTAATTGTTGAAATAGTAGAATAAATTAAAAAAAAATAAAAAAATTCCGTGTCTCTTTGTGGTAGCATTGCATCTTTTTGAAAATCATTTTGTCTTGAACTCATTTTGTGTTCCTTTTTTTGCGATTTGAATTCCTTCATATGCATAAATCCCCTAAACCCTGCACTTTATTCTCAGTAGTGCATGTTTCTCTCCGCCTCGCTGCTGCTGCTGCTGCTCTTCCTCCTCCTCCTCCTCCTCTGTCCTCTGTCAGATTTCCAGCTGAGTTCCTGCGTTGGATTGAGGACCTCGGCCCCCGTGTCGATGCCCAGAACCTGCCGCTGCACCAGCTTGAAGTAAAGCCCCTCGCTGGCCATCAGCCGGCTGTGGGACCTGGGAGAAATAATCAATATATTGTGCCGGAATTTTAAAGGTCACGTATTCTGCTAAATCCTCTTCTCCATGTCTCTTCTACATCAACATGTGTCCCCTCTTCTTCATGTCTTTTCTACATCAACATGTGTCCCCTCTTCTCCATGTCTCTTCTACATCAACATGTGTCCCCTCTTCTCCATGTCTCTTCTACATCAACATGTGTCCCCTCTTCTCCATGTCTCTTCTACATCAACATGTGTCCCCTCTTCTCCATGTCTCTTCTACATCAACATGTGTCCCCTCTTCTTCATGTCTCTTCTACATCAACATGTGTCCCCTCTTCTTCATGT